TTCGACAGTGTTCCACACAGTTGGCTGCTACATATTCTACACATGTACAAAATACATCCATCACTCATTGCATTCTTCGAAAACACTATGCAGCACTGGAGAACAACACTACATCTCAGGGTTAGTAACACTTCCATACAAACAAACGAAATATTCATTAGGCGAGGAATTTTTCAAGGAGATTCCTTGAGTCCTCTCTGGTTCTGCCTAGCCCTGAATCCATTATCCAACATGTTAAACAACACGCAATACGGCTACAATATCAGACACGAAAAAACAACACAGTTTACACTCTCACATCTCATGTACATGGACGACATAAAACTTTATGCATCCACACAAAAACAACTTCATCAACTCCTACAAATCACACATTCATACACTAAGGACATACAAATGGAGTTTGGCCTAGACAAATGCAAAAAACTTCACATAGAAAAAGGAATCCTGAAGAAAGAAGATTTTGCACTTGGAAATGGAGACGTTATTGAATCCATGGAAGAGGGCGAGTTCTACAAGTACTTAGGATTCCAACAGGCCAAACTAACAGAACATACACAAATAAAGCAACGATTAATTAAAGAATACCAAAGTAGGTTAAACGCTATACTTAGAACACAGTTAAATGCAAAACACACAGTTAAAGCAATAAACACATATGTCATCCCAGTACTCACATACTCTTTTGGAGTTATACATTGGACTCACACAGATCTCGAGCAACTCCAAAGGAAAACAAGAACAACACTTACTAAGCATAAACAACATCATCCTAAATCCGCCACAGAAAGATTAACCCTTCCACGTAAAGAAGGCGGACGTGGCCTGATTGACATAGTTAACCTTCACTACAAACAAATACAGTCACTGCGAGAGTTTTTCTACAAGAAACAAGAAACATCACAGTTACATAAAGCAGTAACTCTAGCAGACTCAAATAACACACCATTAAACTTACACTCACAACATACAGACATGACACAACATATAAAAAGCATAGACAACATTAAGCAATCATGGGCTCAAAAGGCTCTCCATGGCAGGCATCCTTACGACCTGGCCCAGGATTTTGTTGACAAAACTGCGTCAAACAGCTGGTTAGATCGGGGATGCCTCTTTGGGGAGACGGAAGGATTCATGATTGCCATACAGGATCAGGTCATAAATACTAAAAACTACAGAAAACACATACTCAAAGATACAACACTCACAAATGACACATGCAGAAAATGTCACATCATGCCAGAAACTATACAACACATCACTTCTGGTTGCAAGCTCTTGGCACAGACAGATTACTTACATAGACACAATCAAGTAGCAAATATAATACACCAAGAGCTTGCAAAGAAACACAAATTGGCAGACATCCACGAACCATACTACAAGTATATTCCACAGACAGTATTGGAAAACAACACGCACAAAATGTACTACGACAGAGCCATAATCACAGATAAAACAATTTACCACAACAGACCAGACATCACACTCATTGACAAACACAATAAAATCACATACATTATAGACATAGCCATTCCAAACACTCACAATGTACAAAACACATGCACTGAAAAAATTAGCAAGTACACAGAACTCGCCCAGGAAATAAGGCATCTGTGGAGGATGGATAGGGTGCTTATTGTACCTGTTGTTCTCTCCTGTACAGGTGTGATACCACACACGCTACACAAAAGCCTGGGAACATTACAATTGAGTAGAAATACATACATCACACTACAGAAGGCCACTATATTGAATACATGCCATATTGTTAGGAAATTCCTTAATACAGACACTGACACACACATTTAATTTTAGTTTTGTTTTGGTTGCTATGCCTTGACTCTGGTCCGGCATAGTACTCAGCCACCGGTGTGTACCGAGTATAACCCACTAAACCCAACACATAATAATGATATATTGGTAGGAAATTCCTTAATACAGACACTGACACTGACACACACATTTAATTTTAGTTTTGTTTTGGTTGCTATGCTTTGACTCTGGTCCGGCATAGTACACAGCCACCGGTGTGTACCGAGTATAACCCACTAAACCCAACACATAATAATCATACTAATGTGTTGTTGGAATGTTTCCCACATGGAATATATAGTATACTAGTGCCATGCTGGGCCAAAGTCAAGAAATAACTAGTAAAAAAAAATGTTTTGTTTATGCACTGTTTGCATATGTATCTGTGTTTAAGAATTTCCTAACTGTGTGACATGTTCAGTATGGCAGATTTCTGTAGGATGATATGTCTTTCTGTTAAGCCCTAATGTTTTGAGACTTGTGTAGTGAATGTATATAGTAATATGCTTGTGCAAGAAAGGACTAATGGTACAATAAGTACCTCCACAGATACTCACTTTATTTCATGGGCAAGTTCTATTTATTAATTTTTTCAGATGTATAAATTTTAAATGTTATGGGTGATTGACACAGCTATGTTTATTATGTATTTAATTTTGTTTTATTTATCTATGTTACCAGTCTGAGACTGGTGATGTATTGTTTTGTCTGCAATTATGGTTTAGTCATAGCATATCTTGCGTGTCTTATTTTCTACAACCATCTGAAGCATGAATTTGTAATATGGTTCCTGGCTGTGTAATAGTTTGTGTTTGTTTGCAAGCTTTTAATGTTTTATATTTTGATGCAAGCTTTTGATGCTACTTAGTTATATCAAAGTACTCAGACTCAGCTTGTGTTAAAAGCTTGCAACCTAATGTGATGTGTTGTATAGTCTTATACATAATGTGGGATTTCCTACAAAGTGTTGTCAATGAGTGTTGTCTTTTAAGATGTATTTCTTGTAGTTTCTTGTATTTGATTTGGTCTTGTATGGAAATCATGACCCTTCTGTCTATCCAAAGAGTCAGCCAGCAGTTTGATGTAGTTCTGTCAACATTGATCCTGGCTGACATCAATTAGAATGCCAACTATGGAGCTCCTTCTGGGTCCAAGTCTGTCTAATGATTTCTATAAGTTTTGAGTAGTACTGCATTAGATACAGGTCTATGTTGTTTAATTTTAATGGCTTACTGTTTATGTCTGCAAGAGTTACTGCTTTGAGTCCAATGTATAACTCCGAATGAATATATATGAATACTGGAATGATGTGTTGTTTACATTGAGTTTAATATGCTGTTGTATTATTTTGTTAGTCTTTATATTATTTGTGCATGTTCTGTGAGTTTGGCCTGTTGGAATCCTAAATATTTGTAAAACCTGTCTCTTCCATGAATTTTATTATATTTCATTTTTGAGAAAAAGTATTTCATACTATTATTCATAGTTTTTCTTTAGAAATAGCATAACTGTGTTAAATTAGAAGTTTTAATACAAGTGATAATATAATCGTCTCATTATAATAGGAAAATATATTTAATTTTTGTCTTTTTATTGTTAAAATACCATACTTAAAAAAAACCATACCATACTTTATGGCATATAAGATAAATATTTTGTGTTAAAATGGGGGTTTAAGAAAAAAGTATTTAATGTATTTAAGCCATCCTGCACCTTTGGCATTCAATCCCAAGAATATTTTACTATATTCTGGTTAAACAGAAAATAAAATTAGAATGCACACTTTTATTTATCAGGGAAAAAAGAAAGTTTACAATTAAAATTACCAATAAAATACTCTGTATGAATACATAAAAAAACTGCTCTGCTTTAGCAAAAATCTTTTATAATTAAAGTACCTGTTAACCATGAATATCAGCACATGCAAATCATATATACTGGTAACACAAAATAGTTTTAGTGTCAAGCTATTTAAGACTTGTGCTAGGTGAAGATTACCTGTAGCCTACCAATGGTTTTTTTGGGAAACTCATTATCTTAAGGGCAATCAAACTTCATATAATGATGTAGGGAAATTTTTTGAACCTTGTTTTTGGACAAAAGTTATGTTTTATATCCATATAGTATGGTATATAGATGTATATTATATATAATATTTTGTTTTTTTCATTATAAATTAATTATAAGTTAAATTATAACTTAAAAAGGTATTTAAGTCTTTTCAACATATTTGACATTAAATTTATTAAAAATTTATAAAAACAAGGAAAAAAAAAAAAAAAAGCTAAATCAGAAAATATATCTTTTAATATTTTGAAATTTAAATATCAATTACATTTAATAACTTTATTCAAAATATTTAAATTATAAATTAGTATTTAATTTCTTCAATACATCTTATCTTATATAACAATCATATTTTGTCAAATGATGATAATATTTAATCATTTTTCATCAGAATGTAACTTTAATAGAATTAAATAAATAGAAGGTAAAGGAGGTCAACAATTAAATAAATAGAATCCAAGCCAAAGGTGAATTTATTTCTATTCTATTTATTTGATTATTGACAATTACAATTGATAATTTTTATCCAAATTTTTAATCTTTATCAATTAAAAACAAAATATTTTCATTTTACTATTGTATTTTCTCTGATACAATTGTATAGCAATAAATCATGTGATAAATCATCAATTTTAATTCAAAGTCTTTTATTTTATAAACAACAATTGTTTATCATTATATAATACTTTTCATGCATAATTACAATTATTATATTGTGCATGCAATATAATATATTATAATTACAATTTTTAGTTTTCATGCATGACAAGAGAAGATTTCAAAAAGTATATTTTTATATGAAAAGATTTAATATAATAATTTTAAAAACTGTATTAGAAGTTAATATATTAACATTTTTTACATGATAAGATTACTCATATTAAACAATAATTATAGTTGTTTTAAGAGATGACAGAAGAAGTTAAGTTTATCATGATATGCTTACTTTTAAAATATTCTTTCTAATAGAGATATCATTTAGAATTAAAATACTTGAAATTTAAGTAAATAAATATGATGTCACAAAATAGGCCTAATTATAAGTTATTGCTTTACTATAACATTAAGATAATATAAAATAAAACATTTTAACATTCGTGAAACATGTTACTCACAACTATGACTTGCAAACTGTTGATCTAATGCTAATGAACTTGTTCCATGTCACTGCATCATCATTGCCAAATGTGATGCGTTATTATTTTGTTACTGCAAAGGTAGTTAATATAGTTTATTTATGCCAATTATCAAAATAAACTAAATTATAGTTTTATTGGGATTAAAAAAAAAACTGTATTCAATTTGCAGATCTATATAAATATTAAATTGAATAAAAACCAATTTAATAGAACTTATAATATTTAGAATCTATAATAATAATTAACCATATTAAAGATCATCTGTTTACTGAAACAAATTTGTTTTCTTTATTTGTAAAATAATGAAATTTAAGCAGTTTAATTGCACATTTAAGAAACTAAATAAAGAAACATTTTTTAATAAAAAATCCCTTACTGTGTTACCTTTTTTTTTTTATCAGATAAAAATACACAATTATTTGTTTCAAGAAATACTTCACATTTGGTTTCTTAAATTTGCAATAAAGCTTTTTGGACAATTGAATAATGCATCTGAGTGTGAAACATATGAAGTAGATTTCATTATTATTTTCTTTTTTAATCAAATACTGTTTTCAAGTAATATTTTTATTGTTTAAAACAATATTATGAAATATATAATACACTGTATATATATATACACAGTATATTATATATATTATAATATACTGTATATATATATATACAGTGTATTATATATATATATTCACTTTTCTTATATTTCATAAAAGCAAAATATAAGAGTAACTTATCACATTTAAACAAATTAATTACCAGAAATCGCAATCATTTGGAATTACTCTTTACATAAAAAGGGGTTAAGACTACCTTCAGATGTCAAACGAAAAATCTCGAAAAGTTGTGTTATTAAAAGTTAAACTATCCAATCATGTATATGTTTTCACGTTATATTTTATATATTATTTTAAAAAAATCAATCAATGGAAAAACTGCGCGAAAAATATATCTGAATGAACAATGTTATCTTTTCATGATTTGTGAAATTGCCTTACTATAAATAGCTCGATGCACTTTTGTACGTTTTTGTTGCTTAAACTTATCGTATAACAAAGAATAAACGGTTTACTATTTATTGTTAACCTACCATCTCTTATCGTAACTAAATCCCATTTCCAGTCAATGTTCATCGAAAGATGAGAGGGATGAGGGATTATTAGAGGCAATGGCGGACGATCAGCTGATCGTTTAAAAGTGACGTCAGTCAATTCGTTATTGGACAAAATACAAATGTTTCTTTGACATTGATCAATATTCAGCTATTATTAGTAGTTTACAAATCATGTGATTCAGTAATTAAAACTTTAAACTACATTAATAAATTATATTACATATTTTAAAAAATATTTATAAATATTTTAAATAATAAATACAAAAAATCTAACCAATGACAGGATTCTTAAGTATTTTCTTTAAACTAAGTAAGCCATTCTGTTATTGGCTAACTTTCGGAAAGTCACGGATGTCACCATTTGTCCGACTGCAATCACGTGTACAAAAACATCCAATCGAATTTAACTTGACTATCTATAACGAAAGCCCTCACAGCTGATCAGTCGAGTGCGGAGCAGTTAAATCTCCAATATCATAAGAGATAAAGACGTGTGACGATTAATAAATAATCACAATCATGATAAGTAAAGATTTAAAGTGTAGGTGTTGAGGAAATATAATTAGCGAGCTCTAGGACGCAGATGCCATTAAGCCATCGGGAATCGCAGGAACGAGGTTAGCGAACTCTCGCACCGTAGCTCGGAGAAATCGATTGGTTTTACAACCGGCGGTCAAACAGACGGATAGAAGATGACTCGCTCCCAAATCTGGTGAAAATTTGCTTACAATTTGTCGAATATTCAATCTATCTCGTCTGAAATGGTGAAAGAGAAACCAAATTCGACAAGGACATACGACGAAGATGGATTTCGAAGGAGAGCTGCATGTTTATGTGTCCGCAACGACGATGAAAGTGAGGTGAGTGCCGCTCTATAGGGATGATGGAGATTCTTAATATTTATCTCATTTGATTAACATTATGAATGTCGGGTGTCCAGTTTCAATGACTCCTCCGTCGTTCGCACTAACCTAATTCGTCAACTATTCGCCAACTGTCCCGGCCACGGCTTAAATAAATTATTCATTCTCGATCGAGTTTTAACATTTTCTTAATTCGTTGCGTTAAAATATATATACATAATAGTTCTTCGGTTAATAAGTCGATAAAATTTCAAAATAATTTAAATTTAATATAAAAATAAAAGGCGTATTTATTATTAAAGGAGTTTGAATGAAAGAAATCAATTTTTGATCCTTTCTAGTTTGATGAATATTTCGCTTACTATTAATAATTTCCGCACGCGTGCGATTGGGATGTTTTCCATCTTTTTTAAGGGAAAACCGTGATTTGCATATAAATTCCCGCTGTATAAACTCATTGCATCGTGAATATTCATTTGTGTGACGCTTTTATAAGCACCGTCGACTTTTATCAGTGTTCGATATTCCAGTAAAAGATATTGGTAACCAGGTGTGGCCTCAACTGATTTACCATGCTGGCAAAATTCCAGTCGAATTAAACTATGTAGTGTACTGATTACCATTTAAAAAAAAATCTTTTCATCATTAGTGACTATGGTTTGGTTTATATATCACTCTTCTACTTCATCCGATTGAAAACTTAAGAGCGATACTTTTTCCCCGAGTTTTAACTCATTAGAGCGCTTCGTATTCGTCACTCCAACTCGAGGAGGATTTAATTTTAATACAGTTTATTGCAAAAAAATAAAAATTTTGCGTTTTGGCAAAGATCATTGCTTCCCGAATTTTTTTGGCAAAGTTGTAAATTTCGAAATTCGCTTAGTTTACGAAGAAACCGTTTAAACGGCAATGAACTACGTCCTTCAACTTAGATCGTCAGACTTGATACTTTTTTATCGACGATAAGAGAGATAGAAGTAATGCCCAACTACGTGAGGATAAATTTATTTTTTCCAATTGATATATATATATATTAATCATACCTAATATTTCATAACGAAAAATCTGTGCGAAGCTGTTAAATTCAGTAACGCTTTTATTGGCAATCCATCTTTTTAAGTTTTGATTTCATGTTTTTAGTTATTCCAAAAATTTTGTTGCTGTTTTCTAGAATTCCTTTTCAGAGTATTTTATCTCTAATATTGCGTGAAATTATGTTCGAAGGTCCATTTTGTTGATGTTATATTTTTCATCAGTTCACGACTGATAAGACTATCATTTGTTGCGTTGTATTTCTGGAAATTTTTGTTTACGAATTTTTATAAAATTTAAGAGACATCAAAATTAATTTGTAATTCCTTCACGTAAGTGAATTTTGTTTTTAAAATAAATTCAGGATGTTGTATATAAAATAACATTTAAAGATCTAAAGTTATGAGTAATAATTTTCAAGAATATTAATGAATTTAATTTTTTATAAAATATTTCTAGAACACGTTGAATTTCTTATAAATTCGTTGCTTTAAACTTCTTTCTTATTTCTTAATTTTTATTTTTATAAATTTATCATTTGGATCTAATTTTTATCGATTAAGTAAAATTTCGCAAAATTTTCTTCTGTACATTGTCATATTTTAATAATTATTCCCAATAGCTCAATTCAAATAATTGCAGAAAACTTGAACATGATTTGTTTTAATATTTTTAAAATCATGAATAAATTACTTGATAGAATACTATACTTCAAGCCACATCTTTCTTTTTATAGCCACTATTACTTTCATTTATAATGTAAATTTTCCCAAGATACACAATTACACTTTTGCTTTTTCCAACATTATTTTCATAAAAGTTGAAATGGGCAGCACTATAGGCCTATCTTAAAACTGCAACTTAACCACAACAGTATTAAATACCTTTCTTGATATCAAAACCAATTAACTCATAACTTAATTGGTTCTGATAAGTTTACTATTTGCTATATTTCAAGAATTATTCACATATTTTTGCACAAACTCATCCTTCTTTTATTTTGTAAAATACAATCAAACTAAGATGAATTACTTCAACAAGGAGAATCCCACCAAAAATTCATTAAATGGAAAATTATATAAAATAGAAATTTGTTATATGAAGTTCTGCTGCATTTTTAACATTTTTAGTAATATTTTATTTCAAACAACTTCATCTGTAACTAATTATAATAAATTTAAAATTTGCTAAAAGTTTCAAATTCAAAAACATAAGAGCCATTCGTAATTTCACCAAAAATAAAATTCATTAAATATCAACATTCATTTTCTGACTTCTTGATTTAAATCAGATTTTAGTCATAAAGATCAAAAGTTATCAAAATGATATTTATTAAGACATTTCCGATGTCATTTTTTCATTAGATTAATGCTTTTATAATAGCAAGATAAAGACTGATCAAAATACTCAGTGTTTTCCCAGGACCTTTTTCCTGGTAGGATGACCAGAAAATTTTTCTGGCAATCTAGCCAATAAATTTTATGAGAAATATACATAAAAATAGGTTAAAAATAAATAAATATGGGGAATCCTAACATCATGAAGTATAATTTTTTCTATTTTGGAATGCAACTTTTAAATATATTTTTTAATTTCTAAAATACTTTTGCAAAATTGTATTGATCATTCTATTTGAATATGTTTAATCAATCAAGCCTTAAAAAAATAGGCAAAAGTGCTTTTTTTTTTAAACATAGAAAGATTATAATATTATTCTGTTTATAAACCAAGTTTAAAAAAAAAAAAAACATATTCACACAACTGTGAAATTTTTTTCTTTTATTGAAAATTAATAAAAATCCCTAAAGAAGCAACATAAAAAAGAAGTCAAATCAGACTAATTTACCTTAGTTTTTTTTATAAAAAGAAAAAAAAAATGTGGCCAATATAACACCACCACTGATTTCAAACTGAGACATGAAGACAGTTGTCAATATCGTTCAAGATAGCATAAGATTATTTATATAAAGACAATCTACCAGCAGTTTTTATTGACCACTAGACAAAAAAATGTTCAAAAACACTGAAACCTCTTATAGCATATAGATCTTCTCTACACATAAAATTCTATTGAATAATTATATCTCACAGTATCCAAATTTTTTCAATCTAATAAGTATTACATACAAATTAAATAGACTCCAAAACAAAAAATTGACGCAGCCAGGAATCTGCCTGTTAGGATTTACAGAAGTAGAAAACATTTAACTGTTTTGCCTTATGCTATATGCTAATAAGTCATTATACATTACAAATATTTGTCTATTTCAATATCTGCAGAAACCAGATTAGCATTTCAAGAAGTGACCAGAAAAACTAGACAGATTCTGAAAGAAAACAAAAGTTTATTTCAACACGTGACTATGACATATGCAAATAAATATAACAAATTACACAGTATTCAATCATGAGATTATACATGCCATATAAATAAGTCTACACTTATCAACGGTTACTGGAAGGAAAATAAGTACTACAAAACTCAATTTTGCTGGAATTTTCCAATATGTATTCCATTTTTTGAACTTAAAAAGATGTTTAATCTGACATAATGATAATAGGTGTACTTNAAATAATCCAAGCATGTAGATTATTATAAAAATAATCTAAAAAAATGTAAGTAGAGAAACATCTTGATATTTCATGTATTAATGCCGTGCCTTTTGACAAAAATTCGACATAAGATATAATAATAATAATCTTTTTTTGCAAGTCCATTTGCAGTCAAATTGTCTTCGACTCCATTAAGTTCTAATTCTTCTTCTCTACTAAAATGCACGTACTGAAGCGAAAACCAAAGATTGCAATTTTTTTTTAAATGTATTTTTGAAATTTATTTTCGAATTGGTAACAGTCGTCTTTTAATTACGGTTTTTTAAAATATATAATCCTTTTGAGATTATATTTTTAAGAATAAAAAGCATCGATAATTTAAGGGATCTGAAGATATGTCAGTTTACGAAGATAAAAATGGCATTCTTGGATTAGTTCGAGTACAACATTATAAAAATTGTCTGGTTATTAGAAATAAATACACTTATAATTATTATATGAAAGTTCAGGCATACAATTTTTCGTGTAGTTAACTCGAATAACTCGTTTATTTTTCAGCAATGACTTATCAATGAAAATTAGAAGTCTGTAACGTAGTCCCTAATTAAAACAAACAATAATAAATAAAACAGTAATTTAAAAAATCTATTTTTGGAATATATTGATGATCGATAAAATATGAGATTTGTGTGCCAGATTTGCATTTAGTTGCTTCCATATCTTTATTTAATTTGGTTTTCATATAATGTGTAATTTATCAAATTAATTTCTGAATACTTTCATATCCTCTACTATAAATCCTAATACTGTACTATAAATACTATAAATCCTAAAGATATAACAAGAAAGATTTAATCTCTCGTGAAGCCCACATATTTTCCTTCGGATTAATTGTTTGATGTGGATTGTTTGGTTTAATTGTTTTTGTTTTAACATAAACTGATATGATCTTAATAGATCAATCTCTACCGTCCTGTACGTAAATCAATTTTTATTTATTTGCATAAGTATGATTCATCTATTGAATTTTAGGAATGCAAACATTAAATTTGAAATAATTTGCTTTCGTGAAATCAGTAAAATTATTGGTTATGATCTAAATATAATTGAATAATTTTATTATTGAAATTTTCTGAATTCAAATCCATTGAATTTTATTTTTCAAGCAAAGTTAATGAACAATTTCAGCTCTGATGTTAATTTTGAAGTTACTATATATTACCTGCAGCATAAAATTTGATGCTTCAATAGATATTTAGGGGGAAAAGTTTATTTTATGTGGAATTCTAATATGGAATTATTCATTTAATTAATGTTCTAGTCAGGATTATATTTGTATTCGAACGTTTATTATAGTGGAACATACCAGATGAATACATAAATTATTTTTCCACAGGCTGTTTGCATCAACT